TGGGCTTTCTTAGACGAGTCGCTGGCCTTACGCGTCTCGACATGGCCCGGAATAGTGACATCCGGAAGAGTTTTGGAATACAGCCTTTGCTTCTCCAGATTGAGAAGTCACAGCTGCGATGATTTGGCCATATGTTGCGAATGGCTCCAGAAAGGAATCTTAAGCAACTGCTTCTTGCGAAACTGACCGGCAGAAGGCCCAAGGGACAGCTAAGACTAACCAGGTGTAAATATATGGAAGGAGTTCCAGACGCTGTCTTCTGCCGACGTTGTCTGTTCTACTCTGGCACAGGATCGAGAACGTTGGATGCACTGACGCGTCTGCCTAAGCGACCCGAAAGGGGAAGCGGCGATGGAAGATGAAGATAATTTCAACCTATATGCTGCCGTCACCTAATTGAGGCTTCTTTCAATGGAACTTATGGGTTGATTTTTTAATGAATTCAGCTTTCGCAGTAGAACAGACAGGAAGAAAATCGTTAGTATTTTTGTCTACTTAACACTTCGATGATAGATGCCATTTCTGAAATCTTTAGCCATAGATATGGAACATAAGCCGCAGTTCTGGTTCCTGCTTCCAAGCAATTAGTCACCGACGCATTATTTGTGAAGCAATATTTACAGCTAGAAATGCATTACGGCGCGTGCTTTCAGATTTCTACCCCATGATGGCACCTATATATTACGGTTTCTATTCTTTTGATTGAAGTATGTGAAGTTCAAATGTCGCACTTCTGAGGCCTCGTGGCCATTCGATTAAAAGAAGACTTTTCTCTATATGACAGTGTGCTGATAAGGAAAGATTAGATCAATTCTTAGAAATCAATATGCGTTAATGCGAAATGTATCATTTTCAGTGCAAGATTCTGTCTCAGCATCTCAGCATCACTGTCATACCTAAAGAAATGAGCAAAACCGTAAAAAGAAAGAAAGATAAAAATGAACCCGGTACTTTTAGAGAAGGCTAACCAAAGAACAACTAATCACTCCCTCACCCATGAATACTGATCTTACGTTTTACATAACGCTTCATAGCATCATATTTTTACGGGCTACCGTTCCCCTACGGTTTTTCTTGGCCAAAACAAGCACTGACATAAAGACATAAGTGATCACTGATTCATATTTATCGAAGCTCTCTAGCGAAATCGTCATCTGATTAGTGGGAGATATGGTTTATATGCACAGACGCTATCAATGCAAAAATTAATTCAGATAATCTGATAGTGTGCTTCCATTTATCAGCTGCAGCATAATGAGTCAGTAAATATATGGCGATCGGCGACATATTTAAGGAGCATAATAAACTGCGATACCTCTTGTATAAAAACAGTACTTACTCTCAACACATGGGCCCTTTCCTCGAAAAGGAGCACAGAAGTTTCGGGACATTTCAAGCTGGTCCGGAAAACACGCTTGTCCCTTCCTCCGGAAAAAACCGTAGTAAATGCTTCGTCAGTCTAAAAACAGAAAAAAAAGAGTTATAACTATTTTAAATCTATTAAAACAAACAAAGGTTTAAATTTTCACAATTACGAAATTATTTTATCGCTGATTTAATACCCTATCTAAGTCACTGTAGCAGTGTTCTGGAAGATAGCCTGGAAATACGTACAAATGTAGGATCCGCTGTGTTAATAGAAATTGCTGTCTTGAACATCTCTATTTAGAAAAACCAAAAGTGAAACTTATCAGAAGTTAGCCACATTCAATGCTGCGCACACACTGAGGTAACTCATATCTCCAACCGTGAGAAATTACTACTAGACATAATTTGTGGGTTTACCGCATTACTGAATATACGTCAGCGCAAACCGAAGTCATGACGCAAAGCTAAACGTGCAGAGGCTCAAGATTAGGGAAGAATAATATGGAAAAAGCAATGCATTTCCGGCATGGACTGAATCGTGAATCAGTCTCAATACATACCAGTACACAAGTACAAATCGCCATGAACTGAACTATAAATCAATCTTAATCTATACCGGTATAAACACTATTTAAACCCATTAAAATATTTACGGAGCTTAGCTTAAAGCCAGAGTCTACATCATCTGAAAATCTCCTTACGAAAAACATATTACTTTAAAAGGGACTATGCGTAATTACAATAAATTACTTTATAATTTTGCGACATGTACGTTGTGGTAAAACAAACGGGACCAAACTACAGCGCATAAAACTTAACGCCAAGCATTTAAAAACTAAAATTGTGAAACAAAGTTGATCCGCTGTCTAGCGAACACGGGAGTGTCACCACAACGGGCGGTTTAGTACAGGAACAGAAAACGAATGAATATGCATGTATGTATATGCGTATGTATGAAGAATCAGCTAACTATAGAGGTTACCCACTAATACTTTAACTTTTAATGGTAGAGAAATGAACGAGTAATTAAAACAATCAAGTTTCGATTTCCTCCAGCATGGAATGGAACGTTTATGAGCGGACTGTTCAAAGCCATAGCGTCGAGCGTAACTTCTAGAGTCATGCAGAGCTTTAACGACGAGCTAAGCGCTGAGGTAGGACCTAGGCGAAAGTTAGCACCTAGCCGAGCAGAGAGCTAGCACTGAGCCAAGAGTTATGGGTGAACAAGGGCATGCGCTAGCGCAAGCTGAGCTGAGCGAACGATTCGTGTCTGCAAAGTCTAGGGCTTCATACTCATTTTATTTGCTCCAACATTATATCTTCCTCAGAAAATTTAGAATGACGGACACACCAGATGAGAAACAACAGTTACAAAACCAAATTTTCACGATAATAAATGAGGAGTAGCACGCATAACGAAAGAAAAGAATGATTGCAACACACAGGGTATCATTGTCTGTATCACTCTTATGACGGACACCAACTGCAGTACTTTCGTTTCATGCTGATTAATGTGCGACCCTGATCTCTGATTCGATGTCATAAAACAACAGTGTCTTATTTTGTGAAGGCAGTAACAACAGCCAAATGAAAACTATAGCTTGTAATCTCTTGTTTCTTCTCAATAGTACTATTACACATACAAAGCCCAGAACATGAATCCTCCACTGAATTTAAATCTGCTTTGATGATTGTGTAATAGGCAGTACCAAACAGCTCTCAACTCATCTTGACATGCATTCCATTATGCTGATCGTCGCTAACTCCATGGATTTGAAAAGAAATCAGTTATAAATACTATTTATCAAGAAAATCTGCAAATTCAGCCGTTACCAATTTTCCTTTTAGCTAGCCTTTTTTAGGTCTCAATTCCTTAAACGATGCCACTCCGACCTTCTCGATGCAGGGGGCACATTCCTAATGCAGCTGACTAAAGGATAAAAGTTAACGAGCAGAGGATTTGGTCTCGAGCGTTCTTTAGGGAATCTACATTTGCACGCGGGGTCGTGACCAACTGCATAAAGATTTTCTTTTTTAAGTGGATTTACCTGACTTATCCTTTCCTAGCATCAAAAAGAAAAGGGGATGGTGTACGCAGAACAATATCTTCTAAAGGACGAAGGATATCAGGTTAAGAAGTGAAACAAGTTACCTGCAATGACCATATTCCTTCGCCATGACACCATATTGTAGTGATACACCTTTGCATGCCTAAGTGCCACAAGCGTATGCTACCATCAGAGCCGCCGGAAAGACACTGTGAAAAAATAACGCATTTGTAACACAAGCGCGCATCGATTATGATGTCCACTTACGAGAGTGCCGTCCCTACTCAAAACGACGCTTTTGACTGTGTCCGTATGGCCTCGCAATTTCATGATTTTCTGACAGGTCCTTGGATCCCACACACGAATGATTTTTTCCGTAGAACCGGAAACTAGAACGCTACCACTTGGGTTCATGGCCAATGCGTAGACACTGTTCTTGCAGCCGTTCAAAGCCGAGGCTTAAAAACATTCAGGAATGAAAAAAGACATGCGATTAATTTACAAAAGTATTTTTCGGTTCTTCGTATAGCAGAGAAAATGTTTTTTTTCTAAACAGTCAATAAAATTGCTAAATTTCATGAATATACATAATCTTTAAATCTAAAAGCTATCAAACCTTAATTCGACCATTATTAAAAAAGTTGAACACAATTGCACAGTAAACAAATAAACCGTAGGTGACCTAAACCTATTTGAACTTTTCTACTATATTTCATTACAATACATGGAAATCTTATGGTAGTCAAGCTTCTTTTGCTATCGGCGCGATGCCGTCAGCAAATCGAAAATGAGTGAGCCATCTGCCTTCAATTTATTTCATTTGGCGAAATACTGATTCAAAACATACAGTGAAGAGCATGGGTGAAACAGCTGACGAACTCCATCAGAAGTCTACCATTATTATATATTAAAAAGCAATCGTAATTCCACCCGTCCAGTTGATAAGGAACACGGCAAAAATCACGGGTCCAAATTAAACGTATTCACCATTATAATGACCCATGTTAACAACCGTTAAATTAAATAATGATGCTCTTACTTGTGACAGTGTTGTTTAAGGCGGTCAATGCGGTCAAAGTGTTCACGTCCCACAGAAAAATCGCGTGATCGAAGCCAGCAGATGCGACATGTTCTTTTTCTTTGGCATACGCCAAAGCTTTGACGTAATCCTGAAAGAAAAAGAACGTTTCAACAATTCATTAGCATTTGTGCATACCTTATGCGTCCGCAACGTTGACATGCAAAATCCCTTGTGAGCATTCCATACTTTGACAGTAGTGTCGCTCGATGCGGAAATCACTTAAATAAAATGTTAAACCAGACGTAAACGCTGGAATAGCAAACGCCAGCATTACGGTGACGGCCACCACAGCACAGCAAGATGTCATTTACCCAGTCGGTATGATGCTCCATCGATGCGACGTACGGATCTTGCTATAAAGGCGTACAAACAAATTACCTGACAAAGAAACAGAGGGTTAACTATAAATGACCATGACAGTGATTTTCTTATACTGTACTGACAGAGCATTTGTTCATAGTGCAGAAAGCATTATCAGTATCAATAATATCAGTAGTGATGCCGATAATAAATATCAAAAATATAATCAACAAGCATCAATTCATGCCCAATTTTAAAGAGTGAAGTTCAAAATATCATGCAATAAACCTCACGTAGAAAAACTGTTACAGATTTTTGAAAGTTCCACTGTGCATAATCCAAATCATCTATACATAATAAAATTTCTTAGTTACATTATTTCGTGAATTTATGCTCTGAATTGCCCCATCGTTCTCCAGTTCTGGGTACCCCAGAGAACCACGAAAATATTCAACCTACCTGCATCGATAGTAACGATGACTTCTGTGCATTTATGATCATCATCATTTTGGGTAGAGCGCATGAGCAGGTTGTCTTTGGCTTGTGATATCCTCTCCCCTGTATTCGCAGCTTTACAGCACTTTGGATATAACAGTTGGAAACAATTTTTCTCTGCAAATCTGCCTCTACACTGC